GCTCTCTCCACAAAGGCGAATTCTTCAGTCCATTCGTCCTGAAATGTACGATACTCATCATCTTTTTTTCTTTTCGCCATCTTCTTCGTCGAAGGGTTAGCTTTGAGCTAATGACCGAGCAGACTGATTCAAAAGGGGGCGTTTACCTGTTTACCCAGCAACGGCCAACGTAGGCTATTATCATCCAATTAAAATAATGGACAATTGCTCCTGCAGCCAACTGCAGCCCTGAACAGGACATGAGCAGTGGAAAATCGATGGATGGATTAAAACAAGTGATAATATTTTATGTTTTATCTGAAAAGCCGAAATCTGCGAGCCAGATGCAATCATCAAAAGAGCCACACCTGGCTCGCGAGCCATAGGTTCCCGACCCCTGATCTAGATGATGTTTATCAAATTTTGTTTTATTAACCTTTTAAAAGAAAATCTATTCTTGGTCTGTCTAATGTTGATGAGGAGCAGATTCCAAGCAGAAGAAGCTCTATAAAGGAAAGTTCTCTTCATACAATTTGTTCATCCACACTGCACCATCAGTGCTCACTTGACGTGTTTTGTACCCACGACAAAAACCTGTATATATTAGTTTTTTGACAAAAAAGTGTGGAGTAATAGTCCATATAACATTTCACATGAATAACAGGAGACGAGATTTTAATTTTGCTTCTACGGTTAGCCATGACAATCGATTATGCATCTCACACACATTAGTAAGAAAAGAACAATGTGAGCTAACCTAGCTGCTCTGTTCTGTGCAGTTTGAAGGGTTTTTTTTAAGATGTTTCTCAGCAGCACTTCATCAAATAACTGGGCAGTACTCAAGGTGTGACAAAACAAGTGATTGCAAAACAACCTGCTCAATTGATATCACATCTATAGACAAATTGACTGCGCTAGGGTTAGCAAGAACATTCCTACTTCCAAATACATTTTGTTTTGGAAATGTTTGGTACCAATTTGCTAATTCTCACCCATTTAGTGATACTATACAACTCCAACATCTAGTTTCTCTCTAAGCTCCGCTAAAGTTGGTGACACACAGTACAGGGTTGAGTCATTGGCATACATAACTACATGCGCATTTTTAACATACACTATGTTAAGTCATTTATGAAAATTTGGAATAAAAGTGGACACAAGCAACTCCTCCGTTGAACACCTCAAGATATTTCTTTGCTGTCAGAAAAACTGCCATTAAAAATACTTGCTGTGTCCTGCAAGAGAGGTGACTCTTCATCCATGCCAGAGCAAGAGGTGAAAAACCATAACATTTGATTTTATACTGTGGTCAATGACATCAAAAGCTGCTGTAAAATCCATAAGCACAACTCCTGCTAATTTCTTTTCATCCATGTATGTTAACCATTGATCAGTCATGTGTACTAATGCCATACTAGTAGAGTGCCTCGGTCTATAAGCATGCTGTGCTTTTGTTGGTAGTTAATTTCTACTAAAATAATTCAAAATTTGATTAAAATTATTATATTGATAATATATTATCTCCTCAAGTGTCTTATTTAGAGTGAAACCTGCTCTGGGTTATCTTGGGTTAAGGGTATGATTTTAGACACTTTCCATAGCTCCAGAGAAGTACCAGTGGGTAGACAGCTATTAAAAACATGACATTGGTTTGGAGAGCTGCCTGGCTACAATATTAAGAAGTTTCCAATCTAGGTTACCAGGAGATGTATCGTCTGGGAGAGAAAGTAACATCTCTTCAACCGTGTCTTGTTGAACTTTGTTTAACCTCCTCACAGTGCTGCTAACAATACTGAATGTTAAATTGAGATCATCTAACTACATGTGAGATCTTAGGTTGTCTACTTTGTTGATAAAGAAGTTATTAAAGTGATTATGTCACGGTTTGTGGTAAGGCTGGGCCCAAATGCATGCCAAACACAAGGGAGTTGGAGGAATGAACTGACTTTACTTACAAATAAACAAGGAACATGAAAAGGAACCAGAAGCACGAGGTAACACAAGGAACATGAACAGCAAGCTGAAGCACGAGGAAACACAGGGATATAAACAGGAACTAGAAGCACGAGGTAACACAAGGAGCTAGAACAGCAAGCTGAAGCACAAAGTAACACTGCGGAGTTAAACAGGTAACACAGTACAATAACAGATGAACTGACACAGACAAAGGGGAGCACAGAGACTGAATAAACACAAGGGAGGCAAGGGTGAATAAACACAGGTGAAACACATTAGGGCGGGTCAGACAATCAACATGGAGGGAAACAGGACAAAGACAGGAAGTCAAAACATCGAGAGACACACAAGGAAACTAACTACAAAATAAAACAGGAAACAACCAAACTCAAACATAAATTGTCCGTCATGGCAACCCATGACAGATTAGCTACATCATATGGCCTGGTGATGAACTGTCCTGCACATTTTACAAACTTTTGAGAGTTGCATGTATTCTTTCACATTATTTCATTCAAAGTTTTCCCTTTCATGTACAGAGCAACAAATTTTGTTTTCAAAATATTCTCTCTTTGATGTAATCCAATTTAGAAACCTAATTTTTTAAGTTTACAATAAAAACTTCTATCTGAAACACCCCCTGATTTATGGGCAGCTGCCTTAGCTTTGAAGCATTAAAGATCTCAGCATATTAATGCATGGTGCATGACTGTTCCTTACAGACCATTTTCTAAGTGGAGCATGCTCATCCACCAACCTTAGGAATTTATCCATGAAAATTTCCAAAGCATTGTTTACATCATTTTCCTGACAGACATCAGGGCACTGTAAATCATTAACATCATTAACAAATGAGTCAGCATTAAATCTTTTAAATGACCTGCAGTAGACAATCCTAACTCCAGACTTGGGCATTTTAGTCTTTCTTGTTAAAGCAATTCAATTATGGTCACTGTATCCCACTGCCATTGATACTGCCTGTGAACACAGCTCATGTATGTTAGTGAAAATATGATCAATGCAGGTTGACTTATTAACACCATTCATGGTTGTAGAGATTCTTGTAGGTTGGGCCACTACCTGAGTAAGACCTGCTTTATAATCAAACAACAGATGGACATCTATATCTATATTTATACTGAGACCCTTTGAGATGTTTGTGGGAAACCAGATCCTCTTCAATGTAAAGGGACAACACTGAACCAATGACTACACACTCTACATTTACAGCTGACAGTTTTTATGACAGACAAACACACAGGTGGGTGAAAACTCAAAGACATGTTCATGTATTGTCTCCTCATTCATTTAGCCTTTCCCTTTGATTCATCACCACCTATATGTGCAGAATGCAAAGCAGCTCACTTGTCCTTGTGGGCATCCCTAGTGAAACTTTGAGCATGTTAAAAATCAAACAGAGGATGAAATCAGGAAATGTCTCATCAAAAAAAATCATCACTTTATTAAACCATGTCAAATGAGCAAAGAAAACAGAATCACACATTAATAACATACAAATGCAACTGGTAGAGTTCATGGCTTAAACATTTACTCAGAAAATACACCATACGTCTGTGGCTGATTCACTGAGGGACCAGTTTAACAGTGAACACATACACAAGATTATGAGTCCAGACCCACGTCATGGTCTCAGCTCTGAACCGTCACACTCGCTGTTTAAATCTTTTACTTCAAACCGGCAGGAAGCAGCAACAAAGTGGCATTAACAAAAAAAAAAGTGACATTGTGCTGAAATGACAAAGACTAAGCAGTTTCCTAATGAAGTAACAATAAAAACACAAAGTCCATCATCAACTGAACCTATACTGACTAATGACAAACTAAAAGGCTTTTTGTTTTACAGTGGGGTTGTGCAGTGACAGACATGATCACTTACCAGCTTCCCACCTACAAACACTGAGAAGTTCAACATCAACATTTCAACTAGAGCTAAACAATATGCAAAAAAAATAAAATAAAAATCATAGTGATTTCAGACAGTTTTCATTTTCACTGAAGAAAACAAAAATGATGATGTTGTGATTTATGCTCCTTTATATATGAAGAATCTGATCTGTAGACCAGGGTGTCTCTGTAACACCATCACACTTCATTCATGGTCTGACATATTTTACCTCTATCAGAAAAAACTGCAGCTGCTGTGATTTGAATATTGACCTGATAATATTTCCATTGATTGTTCAGCCCTTATTACAACACTAAAAACCTGAACAGGGTGGTGGGGTGGAGAGGATGAAGAACAGTTACATCATCCAAACTTTAATATACTGATTCAGTCCACACCAAATATCACTATAATAATACAAAGATATTATTGTATTTAATGATTCAGGTATAAGTGATGCAACCACTAAACAGCAGCTCAGTTTTATTTGTCACAAGACAAGGATCGATGTACAGTAAGACAAGCAGAGAGATGAGGGTCAGACTCTGTAGCAGAGCAAAACTGCAAAAAAAAATGTATTAAACAAAAAAATGTTTCAATATTATGAAAAATGTGGCATATGTTGGAAAATATCGTGTATCAAAATATCAGCCTGAGCCTAATCACAGGGTCCAGACAAACCTGTCGACCAATGAACAACTGATAACAAGTCTGCAGTGTTAATGTTGCTCATAGATCAGTCTAATGTTAGTCAGGCTGTTTCATTAAATAATGACAGACTCATTTTTAAAGAAAAACATTAGACACCTTACCCCCAGACTAATTTAGTTCTAAGACCAATGTTACCATGGAAACAATCAATGACACATGTGCTGACCAGTAGCACCAAACGAGTAACAGGAAAACATGGCTCATAATTTGCGGTTTGTTAACATTGTTATGGAGAGAGCAAAGAGAAGGGGAAGAGGTTTTTTTTTTGACTAAAGATCAGATTTTTCTTTTCATTGTTTTTTCAGTTGATTTGTGTCATTAACTGCTGCTTATGTATGGAAAACCTCCCTGTGGGCTAACAGTGAGCTGTCAGCCTATAGTGGTCTGATCTGTTCTATCTATCTGTTGATCAACACTAGGTGTTAGTACTATAATATATTATAGAATATCTTTTTCGTGCTAACAGTAGTTCATCAGTCCAGTTTTAACCAACAACCACAGTTTACATATAATGTGCTTCAAAATACAAGAGCTTGTACTCTTGTATCACTTCACCACTGGAGGTTTGTAACTGGTGGAAGTGGGTATCGAGTTCAGATTTTTTGTTGCTCAGAAGGAGTCCTCGGGGTCCTGGGACTGATTAAATATTTGCATACAGATGCAAGAAGGAGTTTTACAGTATTCACAGATCACAGAGTAAAGCGGAGCTTCTCTGCTGAATGCTGGGTCTTTGTTTTCAGACTGACTTTCCTTGATTAAAACAACAGGCTTAGTTGGGGATTTCTTTTGTTTTCTGAACACATTTGATAAATGCAATATTCTCAAATGGAGGTCAGGACAAACACCCACACAGACAGAACCAGGAACATGTTTCAGGCTTCAGCAGTAATTCAGGGTTCATGATGCTGATACCAGAGTCCAGTCTTCAGGCTGGTTTAGGATCAGGTGTTGGGTTCAGGTTAGGGGCTGAGGGCGGGCAGAGTGGGGGGTTTCTTACTTTCGTTTGGTCTTGGTGTCAGTGGTCTGGAAGACACTGGAGGCAGACATGAGGTTCTCAATGTACTGGCCCAGAACCTGGTTCTCCGACTTCAGTTTGAGGTTCTCCTCTTTGACAGCATCCACCCGGGCAGACAGGTCTGAGTGCGCACGCACGCACGCGCGCGCGCGCACACACACACACACACACACACACACACACACACACACACACACACACACACACACACACACACACACACACACACACACAACCACACACACACACACACACACACACACACACAAGGTATTTAGTTTTATGGAGTGCAGTAAAGAGAAAACAAACACTGTCTCAGGTCTCTGACTCAGGCATGGGTAATAAACATATTGGCAATTGGTCTCAATTGTTCAGTCATGTCTAAATAGGATAAATATAATATTATTTTCATTACATCAAATTATTGATCATGTGTGTCTTAGTATTTCAGTGTAGATGCTGATCTTCCATAAATGATTCAAATGGACACTGTACAGAGAAGCAGCTACGACATCAACCAGTCTAACTCCTCCAGAAGAGCTGGACCTGCTGTCAGTCATGACTGCTCAAGTGTCACTGTTAAACTGAGCAGCAGATCCTGCAGTAAAATGATCTAACGAACTCTGTAAGTTTGACAAACAAAAGGCTACAAACTACAAAGGACCTCAGTTTGGCTACGACGGGGAAGTAAGTCATGTCTGTGAGGTTCTCAGTCCTCCAGGCCCTGGTCTCTCTCAGAGCTTTACAGAGGCAGCTGGACCTGGTTGAGGTTCTTGAAGATATTGCTACAAATGAAGCTGCAGTCTAAACACAGAAAGCTTTCCTTTTAGCATAACAATTGCAGTGACCATAATTGCATAACAACATTGACCGACTGATTGATCATATTTCCACCACTGGTCAGCAGCCTGCCTCGTCACCGAGTTCCTGAATCAAACTGTCTATTAGGCGGGTGTTTACAGATGTAGCTCATTGTCTCTAGATTTAGAGACTTGTTTTCAAACAGACTGGGTACAGACCTGGTTAAGGTCTGGACCATGTATGGATGCTGACCAGGGACTTAGGGCTATACCTCTTGTTACTGGTAGTCTACTGAGCCGCTCTGGTTTCCTGGCTGCTCGGAAAATGCAAGGAAGAGGAGTGTTGCCAATACACTGAGCCATGTGTAGCGTTAACGCCATAATTTAGAATTTACAGTCGCTGAAATGTCCTCCCAGTCCTCTGGGAGAACAACAACTAATTACTTTATTGATAAAATTTATCAATCTCTATCAGAAGCCATGACTTCTCCATTCAATGGATCTCCAGTCTCTACATCAAAAGAATACAACAGGACAACATCTGGGTGTAAATAAAGGAGTTTATTAACTAAACTACTATCTACAGAGTAAATGCAAGGTGTAATAATCATAAAGACGACAATAATAATGGAATGAGCAGTGTGATGAGTTGACAATGGTGGAAGAGAATATGTTATGGCTATACACTATGGCTATACAGCTAATGATACTACGTCTACGAATGAGATTTGATGGTTAAATATTACTATATTTCACCATCAACCTAGTCATGAGCAGAGTGTTAAGACCGGCCTACTGTGAGTTGTGCTGTAGCTGAAGACCCTCAGCTGGAACCCAGGTGGCTGTGGTTGCCATGGTAACCTTGGAGACGTAGGATCTAGGTGGATTCTCCTGGAGGCCGTGTCCCATTATCACAGTGACAGATTCTGCCAGCGTCTCAGTGATTCAGCTCTGGTGGAGTTTGTCTGTCTCGGGCACTCTTGATTTCTGGTTGGCTTCTCTGCAGGCGGTCGTGCAGATGTGTTATCTGCCGGCGTCTCTTGCGGGTTGATGCGAAATAAACTCTATTGCTCTTCACTTTGGCTGGATAACTTTAGAGGACACTGACATTGACCAGATGACTCTAAAGTTGTCTAAATCTTCAAAAAGGAAAACTTGATGATGATTAAAAGTTACAAAATTATTTTGAGGCACTTCTGTTGTTTTGGTTCAGTTGGTCTTGACTTGGCTTATAAAAATAAAAGATCGCGCATGTAGCCAAAATAATGTTACTTGGAGCCTGTGGCAAAGAAATAATAAAGGACGTGAAAAGTGCAAATGACTAAGAGCCATGAGTTTGTGGCTAGCAGCTTAGAGCTAAGAGTTTACATGGCTACAGAGCCGGGCTTTGAGCTGGGACTCAGAGCTTTGAGCAAAGTTCTCAGCTTCAATTTTTTTGCGTCATTTTTCTAGCTTCAGCTTTTCAGCCTCTAGCTTTTAGCTTTGTTTCTCCGGCATCTCGCTTCTTAGCATCATCAACATACAAACCTAATGGTACTAATAATGACAGGTAGGAGTAATACGAGTGTTGATTTCATATTACATCCTTCAATCCTGGAATTAATCATAGTACAATTGGTCAAATGATCAAACAACAATATACACATTTCCTAAAGCTAATAGTCTATAAATGTGGATTACACAGCAGTTCTTTGACTGTAATAATAATAATATGGACATTCTGGATGTCATGTAGTGTGTGTCACCTTGTGTAAAGGATGCTGCCAGTATGGTCACATGAAGGACATTGTCTTAAAGTCTACATGTTACATTTCAAACATTCTATGGGATAGAAGTTTGGGATTGAACTATTACATAGAAACATCTCATGAGTTACAGAACAGTTAGATTTTTAATTTTACATTCTTCCTTAGATCTGTGTCTGTGAAGAGTGTTCTGCTGGTCACTACCCAAGATTGGAATGTGGGTTGTAGTTTATGACTCTTATCTAGAGAGGGACAGAGGAAAGGAGGTTGGTTGGTGTGTGTGCGTGTGTGTGTTTTCATGCATGGCACAGAGAGGCCAGGATTCACACCTCAGTGATAATCAGTCCTTTTGTTGTTACTTGTCCTATATAAGAAACAATCAAATATCATTAGACAACGCCTTATTGTTACAAACTGGAGATTTTGCCTAAATTCTCCAGTTGCCTGGTGTCCATTGGTTGATCCTCTGGAACTGACCCTTTGACCTTTGGTCTGGTTCTGTGTCTTTCTGGCATGCTAAAAGCATGGACTGTTTTTGGGAGAGGGGTCCTTTGTCTCCGTTTCCTATCAATTTGATAGTTTGATGGTGGGAAGAGTCACAAAGTGTCAATTGTGGGTCCGTAACTCTGCAAGTCCTTACAATGAACTTCCTTAATGGCTTGTGACTGATGTGATGTGATGTGTGTCTGTTTGTTAAACTCAGCTGGTTCTGATGGCAGAATTAAACACTGTTGGGCAGCAAAAACTTATTATCTTATTTGGTAAGAATATTAGAGCTATTAGAGCTTATGAAAATGATGACAGACTGTTCATTCAACACTGCATTGTTTCTACACCTCACAGAGAGACCACCCCCTCACCACTTCTGCTTTCTTCAGTTGTTCTCAGTGAGCTGTCAAGCTGCTGCTTTTTTCTGATGTGTACATTAGTGTGTGTGTGTGTGCGTGTGTGTGTAAGTAAAACAAACAGCAGAGGCCTTTTGTTCACTTTGTCAGGACAGAGATGTTGTGTAGGACCAGTGCTGTCTTTGTGATATTCAAATACTTTCATTAAAGCTGGAGTAGGTAATCCAGGAGATGTTAGCCTTAGTTAGCTACGTTTTTAAAGTATCCACTCCCACCCCCTCCCTTCAGGCATCCCTCCAAAGCAACTCCCCCAAACCACATGAACAGGCACTTCTGGCAAGGGGGCGAGGGTAAGGCAGAGGAGGTTGTGGGAGAGCAAGACAAGGTGCAGATGAGCAGGTATCTGTAGTAGCAAACATTTTTCTGATTTTTTTCTAACCAACACCACCAATACAAAATTCAATAAAGCTCTGTTCTATTATACAAACCCCAATTCCAAAGAAGTTGGGACATTGTGTAAAATGTTAATAAAAACAGAATACAGTGATTTGCAAATCCTTTTTGACCTACATTCAATTGAATACGCTACAAAGACAAGATATTTAAAGTTCAAACAGAAAAACTTTATTTTTTTTTGCAAATATTCACTCATTCTGAATTTCATGCCTGCAACACGTTCCAAAAAAGCTGAGACAGCTTTCCTTTTAACAACACTCAATAAGCGTTTGGGAACTGAGGACACTAATTGTTGAAGCTTTGTAGCTGGAATTCCCTCCCATTCTTGCTTGATGTACGACTTCAGTTGCTCAACAGTCCGGGGTCTCCGCTGCCGTATTTTGCGCTTCATAATGCGCCACACATTTTCAATGGGAGACAGGTCTGGACTGCAGGCAGGCCAGTCTAGTACCGCACTCTTTTACTACAAAGCCATGCTGTTGTAACACGTGCAGAATGTGGCTTGGCATTGTCTTGCTGAAATAAGCAGGGACGTCCCTGAAAAAGACGTTGCTTGGAAGGCAGCATATGTTGCTCCAAAACCTGTATGTACCTTTCAGCATTAATGGTGCCTTCACAGATGTGCAAGTTACCCATGCCATGGGCACTAACACACCCCCATACCATCACAGATGCTGGCTTTTGAACTTTGCGCTGATAACAATCTGGATGGTCCTTTTCGTCTTTAGCCCGGAGAACACGACGTCCATGGTTTCCAAAAACAATTTGAAATGTGGACTCGTCACACCACAGCACACTTTTCCACTTTGCCTCAGTCCATCTCAGATGAGCTCGGGCCCAGAGAAGCCGGCACCGTTTCTGGGTGTTGTTGATATATGGCTTTCGCTTTGCATGGTAGAGTTTTAACTTGCACTTGTAGATGTAGTGTCGAACTGTGTTAACTGACAATGGTTTTCCAAAGTGTTCCTGAGCCCACGTGGTAATATCCTTTACAGAATGATGTCGGTTTTTAATGCAGTTTTGAGTATTCCTCAACTTTCCCAATCTTTTGTTGCCCCTGTCCCAGCTTTTTTGGAACGTGTTGCAGGCATGAAATTCAGAATGAGTGTTTTTCAGTTTGAACTTTAAATATCTTGTCTTTGTAGTGTATTCAATTGAATGCAGGTCAAAAAGGATTTGCAAATCACTGTATTCTGTTTTTATTTACATTTTACACAATGTCCCAACTTCTTTGGAATTGGGGTTTGTAATAACTACTCGTGTCTGTGATTTGGCTCCCTAGACCATCACTGACCCACTGCCAAACTGGTCATGCTGGATGATGTTACAAGCAGCATAACGTTCACCACGGCATCTCCAGACTCTTTCATGTCTGTCATATGTGCACAGAGTGAACCTGCTCTCATCTGTGAAGAGAATGGGGTGCCAATGGCAGACCTGCCAATTCTGGTGTTCTCTGGTGAATGCTAATCGAGCTGCATGGTGTTGGGCTGTGAGCACAGGTCCCACTGGAGGACGTCGGGACTTCATGCCACCCTCATGGAGTCTGTTTCTGTCAGTTTGGTCAGAAACATGCACACCAGTAGCCTGCTGGAGGTCATTTTGTAGGGCTAGTTGGTGCTATTCTACAGCCCTGTCCAGCTCTCTTCATGTAATGGCCGGTTTCCTTCTATCTCCTTCATGCTCTTGAGACTGTGCTGGGAGACACAGCAAACCTTCTTGCGACCACACGTATGGATGTGCAATCATGAAGGAGCTGGACTACCTGTGCAACCTGACTGGGCTGCAGGTACCACTTCATGCTACCAGTAGTGACACGGACACTAGCAAAACACAAAACTAGATAAGAATCAGTCAAGAAGGATAAGGAGAGAGCAACTGTGTGTGGCAAACAGATGTAAAACCATTCCCTATTTGAGCGTTGTCTTGCTTTTGCCTCTCCATTGCACCTGTTGTCACTTTCATTTGCACCAAAGCAGGTGAAATTGATTCACAATCATTTGTGCTTCCTAAATGAACAGATTGATATCCCTGAAGTTTAACTGACTTGGTTTTATACTGTGATGATTAAGTGTTCCCTTAATTCTTTTGAGCAGTGTATATATAACATAACTGAAATACGATCAACAAGATATACATAATGTATAATTGCCATACACAGTATATTTACTGTTGATTATAAGCAGATGTGAGTGTTGGCTGACAGGTCAGGCTCTGCATTGGCAGTGACTGTCCTTTAGAAAGAAAATTACAATTACATTGGCTGATTTTAAGAGGTTTGAAGAGCCAAGCTACATTTCTATCACATAAAGTTGCACTCATTGGTGAGAGAGACACTGACTCAGAGAGATGAAATGGTGGAGCGGGGGTGGTGGTCTCTAGAAAAACAAAAAACATAAACGTCCCATTCATAACTATTACAGACATTAGATAAATACTATCAAATGACATTTGCTCACAACTACAATGCAGACATCGACAAACATATACACAGATTGAATACAAGGCAATCTTATGTATAAACATAGTTAGCTACGCTGTCTACTAGCATAGCTGATGTTGCTTACACCTACAGTCTTACCTAATGTTAGCTTTGGCTAATACATAAAACATACGTTGCTTATGAAGCAGCTACCCCCCCCCCCCCCCCCCCATCCACTTCCCAAAATAAAACAAACAAGAAAATTACCTGTCTAACAGAAATACAGCCACTGCCGTGTCAGTTGTCACCATTGTTGAAAAGCAATGCCAATGTTGACTCTTGCTCAGCCTCTTGCACTGTCCATTTTTATTTTCGTTGCAGCTTTTTCTGATACCATCTTCCTTTTATGATGAAGCTGCTGTTGAAGTCAAAGCCTTAGGTGGAACTAGTTGTACTTTCTCTGCCATTCCCGTGCGTCTTCTTCCTCTTCTTTACCCGAACTGCCGCTTGTCCAACCCAAAAGTACTTTGGTCATTTGCAGTAGTAAGCACAAGTGCACGACCAGAGCACACGCATTGCATTCAGCCCAAACAATGATTGGTAAGTGATGATGCCCTGCCACTGTCACAGAAGATAGATTTTTTCTGTTTATTGTCAGAGCATTTCATTTATTCATCGCTATCGGGGTGATGAGATAATTTATAGAAACATAACAAAAAATGTTTCTAAAATAGATTACCTACTCTAGCTTTAATGTTTTCTTCCCAACTTTTTTTTAAAACTGTATAGTATTTATGGAACAGCTCACCTGAAGCCTGAATCTTGTTTCAGTCCTTCCCGTGTCTCCACTGTCACAGACTCAGCTTTTTTTCCACTGTTTCACCTGCTGTGGAGGCCAGTTCCTGTTTTGTTGCTTTGTTGGCACTGTTTGAAGTGTTCGGCAGTTCACTACTGGTTTTACTACATTTCCCAGCGGCATACAGGTAGTATAGTTATTTTTAAAATCATAAGACGTTTCCATTAGTAAAGATGTTTTTCTACTAAAGGCCCAATGAAGAGAGAAAATCCGTGCTCGTCAATCCAAAACCATCATCCTGGATCTAGATGATGTGGTTTGATGATTTGTCTGAAGGCAGGCTTCATGACCTGAGTCACTACCCAGGATATTAAGGTGAAACATCTGGTCTTCTGTTTGTATTGGGTAGGACTGACTGACTTTGTAGGTAAAAAACTACACTGTGTGTGTGTGTGTGTGTGTGTGTGTGTGTGTGTGTGTGTGTGTGTGTCATACCCTCTAAAGTGTGCTGAAGCTCCAGGACCTGGTTGATGAGTCTTGTCTTCTCTTCCAGTTCAGCCTGGTTCTCCAAGTCACCTGCAGCCATGAAACAGACAGTCAAGCACTGTATACCTGTGGTTCTCAGATTATTTCTGGCATGCCCCCCTTCAGTAGGGTGACCAGTCATCCCCGATTTCCAGGCACAGTCCCTGTTCTTGGTGGCCTGTCCCCGGTCAGAGATGCCCCCTGAAATGTCCCTGTTTTTAAATGTGAATTAAAAACCGGAAAGACAGGAAGCAAAGCAAACAGGCAGATGTCTCCAATCAGGGGTTGAATTTGGGTCAGAGACAGCTATTCAGACCAGTTATGATTACTGATTCCTGTATAACATTACAGCTACAGCAACTGTGGAGCTTAGCTGGTACTAGTACCTGTGAGTAAAATAAACAGATGACATTGGATAGTTCTTATAAGGCCATTTCATTCATCCGGTGTTTTTACTTTGTTAGAGTTGTTAGACTTTGAAGATGACCCTGTGAGTGTTGAGAATAGCAACCCTCACATTTAATATTGTATAACCAGGTTTAATCATCCATATCATACTGTGATGTGTTGTAAGACTATTTCATTTATATAAATTGTATTGTTTGACCTTGGAAAGTAGTAGTTGTCTAGTAGCCAGCAACCTACTACCATTTTAGATGCATAAAGTTTTTATAAATGCTTTCAAATATGAAACAGACATTCTTCTAATAATCACTTCCTGTCCTGATCCTGTTTTACACTGTTCTTGATGTATTCTTGGTTTTCATCTCAGTCAAAGTACTTGTGCAGGTGGCTGTTAGTTCACTTAATCCAAGAGGTTAGGTGGTGTAAAAGTGCAGGAAATCTGTTTTAAATCTCAATATATTTTTCTGGGGGAGAACATCCACCCCACCCCCCCACCAATTATGTAACTTCCGGGTTAGCTCCCCCATTTTAAAACATTACGAGTCGTCCGTCCATCTAAATCATTCCAAGTAACCCTGACAGTAACCCTGATAACCATGTACCAAATAACACCTGTGATGATGTAAAGCACTTAAACTTATGACCAAACTTCGGTCCAAATGGGTTGAGGTCCTTCAAAAAGTCTGCAGGACCCCAGGCCCTGCCATCAAAGGCTCCCCCTCCTCAGAAATCCCAATTTAACTCCTGTCTCCAACCATAGTTTATTACAGTACAACGATTACCATGGTGTGTGTGTGTGTGTGTGTGTGTGTGTGGTCTCACCATTGTCTGAGCTCATGGTGAAATACTGGTCTTCCTTTTTGGAATGCACGGCTGCAACTCTCAGGACACTGTATGATTTAGGAAACATATATTAATATGTATCACTTAATTTATGTTGTTCTAGCTTTGCAATACGAGACACGCCTAGTTGAAAGTGACGTTACAACACTCCACATAGCACATAACTGGAAATTCTAATATTTCATGTTTTAGTGTCTTTGCCAAATCTCCTGTAAAGCTTCTCATTTAAATATACCGTGATAGGCGATAGCGACTAACGTCACATTCACTGATTTGAAAGGTAGAATCTAAAAAACGTGATTAAACTGCATTGTAGCCCATTATTTACAATAAACAACCTAACTCCCTGTATATGATACACGAGTGCCAAAATAAAAATTAAAACAAAAAAAGATGTTTTTCTTTAATGGAGTTCTACATCACAAGTTCAAGATTCAAGTGGTGCATCATGGCTGAGGTTAGATGTATCACAAACGATTAAAAATAAAATAAGGCACTATTAAGCAAGAGCATAGCTAACAAGCGCTGAGCTCATTAGCGCCACACAGAGAAATATGATGTCAACCACAGTTAGCTTGTTAGCTAGCCGCATTAAAACGGGTGGAGGTAGAGGCCAGCTGGCAGAAAACACAAACCCCGAACAAGGGCTGCTGATACCCACCGAGCTGTTAGCAACATTAGCCGGACGTTGTTTAGTTTCAGCTGCGGCACAAAGCCATAACAAGCAGAAGAACAATACTGTGACGCCAGAACACAAACCGTACGAACTGAAAAACAACTACAGCTGCTGAAACGTTGACTCTCCACAGACAGTGTAAAGGGTTGTTTAGTTTCCCACAGCTGTGTCCGGTGTGTCAAGGTAGCCACCATCAGTTCGGTACACCGTACAGCCGCCAGGTGGCGTAATGAACATTGCGCTGCCTTCAAGCGACTGTGGGAAATCATCATCATCATCATCATCTTCATCTTCTTCATCATCATCATCTTCTTCTTCTTCTTCTTCTTCTTCTTCTTCTTCTTCTTCTTCTTCCTTCGGGCAGACCAGGTTTTAGGGCATTGCTGCCTCCCACTGGCGTAATAACGTCGTTGCTACTTTAACCCTCTGAGATCTGTATCTTGGAGTAAGGTTTTGATATCTTGTGATAGAGATCTGTGGTTTCAGTATATTACATCCCTAGCTCTTTCTTTTTGAAGCACCCAGTCACCAAGCAGTGTTCTAATAGAAAAGTTTGTAATTCCCAGTTTGCCTAATCCCATGAATAAAATTCTCCTTCCCCCACCAGAGAGCGGACAATGCATCAAGACATGTTAACAGACTCCAGGAATCAGCACCAAATTACTTGCTAGTCCACAGTGTCCCAGCTTTAACCTTGTCAGCTTGAGCTCATCTTCCCATGGCATCTTCATTCTTTTGCCAGGTTTCACTGATGGCTGTGTGTTGTATAGTTTCATTCCTCTGCTGACTGCATGCCACACTTGCTATCAATGATGATTCAGTCTCTCACTGATGATGCTGTGACTCTCCATCCTGCCAAATGGCACATGCACATCTACACTATCCCTGCCTAATCTTGCCCTAGCTACCCATAGGAAACCCGCATTACAACACTATCATTAAGATGTTCACATCTGTCTGGTGTAGCTCTGGTCCTATCTTTATTAAACTAAATCCCAATTCCTCTGAGTACTTTCTTACATAATTTATATAGCTACCCCTATTTATCCTAATACCACCCTTTTCAAATTCCCAACACACCGCGAGCAGAGGGATTGATGGAAGAGCTGTTCCAAAGCCTTTAAATTTCATCCAGTAATGTAGTGCTAATTTTAATCATCACATTCTCAGTGGAGCTCCTCCTGTTTTCACCAGCAGCTGGGAACAATGTTGTCCAGAATGCCTCAGAACACAGCCTCAGAGCCTTGGCCAGAACATCATCCAACTTAGTCATTACAGTTTTAGCCACTGACCCATATGCCAAGAATCCATTGTCAAAAATTGCTCTTATCATAGCGTTATGAATCATTAGCATAAGACTCCTATCTGCCCCAGAGGAACATTCTGCATCTCATAATATTTATGACCTTCTCACACTTACTATTTTTTCCACGCATGCTCTTTATGTCAATCATACACCTGCTTTTTCTATTTGAAGGGATAGTCTGCCTGCAAACAGGCAGGCTGCAATACTTGCAGTTACACTTCATGTTACACCCACTTCATGTTATGTCGTACAGCTGTGCCTCCCCGTCCACTGTGAAATGCACAGCTGTATGACGTAACATGAAGTGGGCATAACTGCGAGTATTGCAGCCTGCCCATCTAGTCCGAATAGAAAAAGCAAAAACAACGTTGGGAAAGCAAAAGCGATGTGGCAAAAGCAAAAGCATTTGCTAAAAGCACAAACAATACGGTAAAAGCAATAGGTAAAAGCGAAAACAATATGATAAAAGCAAAAAGAAATATGTTAAAAGAAAAAACAACATAATAAAAGCAAAAACAATACGGTCAAACCAAAAGCAATAGATAAAAGCAATAATTAAAAGCAAAAGCAGTAGGTAAAAGCATTTTTTATTTGTTTTATTTATTTCTATATATTTCCATATTTATTTATTATTTTATTCATTCCTGTTTAAATTTCCACATTTCTTATTATTTTACAGATTTATTATTTTTTATGGCACTCCTATGACTCCATAACTGTGATGTGTTGTAAGATTATTTAATTTATATACATTATTTGTCTAGTTTGAGCTTGAAGATGGTCTCATAGCCTGCAACCTACTACCATTTTAGATACATTATATTTTTATAAATATTTTCAAATTTGAAACAGACATTCTTTTAATAATCACTTCCTGTCCTGATACTGTTATAAACTGTTCTTGAAGCATTCTTGGTTTTCACACCTCAATCTAACTAATCTAGACTAGTGCAGGGGGCAGTTACGTGCAAGTGGGATGGGGCCCTTCAAAAAACTAAGCCTGATGGTTCATATACCTTATGCCAGTGCTTACTGAATGCCACCTGTGCCAGCTTCATGCCAAATCTGGGCCAAATGCTTCGCTCTGTGAGATGTTTCTTCACATTCTGGGAAAGTGGTCTCAGACTTTAGGACTCTACTGTTTATAATATCAACATACTGACAGACTTGGGACCAGGGATGGATATATGTCTACAATATAAAAATACTACTATTTCTAAACATGTATTTGTATGGGGTTTTTTATAATTTTTTACATATGTTTTTGTTTTATATGTTCATGTATTTCATATTAGAAACTCATATCTGTACATATGTTACATTAGTGTCTGGAATGGGCAGTCTGAGTCTGACTAAGCCTTTGAATCTACAGTGAAAACTGCTGTGTTAGAGGCTGGGTCGATGTCACATGCCGTAAGGCTGCTCTGACGCTCCTCTGTGACGGGAGATCAGTCGGGCTGTGGTGTGGTCGTCCAGCAGCATGGAAAGCGATGATGAAAACATAGAAGAGGTTGTGGAAGGTGAGCAACATCTTTCTGCTACTGTATTTCTGTGTATACGGTGATAGGTGGACTAGGTGCTGTTTGAGGTACAGATATCAGGTTTTCGTAAATCTCCATGAGTCAGTCTCGCCGTAGGCCCACACGGTAACCTGGAGCGCCACGGACTTTATTTAAGTAGGAAACCCGCCTGACAGGCGCCTGGGCGCGGTGCGGGTGATGTCTGAGTCTCGCTGCCCGCGTGGCTGCAGGAAGTGTGACTCGTTCAGATAGTGACTGCTGGTTAAGGGTTTCTGTCTTTATGGGCCAGTTTACAAAACTGGTTCAAAGTCAGAACTGGAACTGTCTTGAAATGAACAGTAGTCCACAGCAAATATTACTCTGATACAAGTGAAAGTTCAGTGAGATTTTAAAATAGTGAAGTATTCAAAAGTAGCCTACATTTTTTATGTCAACTCATTGTTGTATTGTTCCAAATTTACAGTACCTGAAACAACCTATTGACTGACTGTAGAACCTTTACAATAAACAGACTGTAGAATATGATACAAAGCCAAGAGAAATGAAACACAATTGAATCAACAAAACTAGCCCTTGTTGTTTTCATATTTCTTTTCTTTAGTCAGTGAAGTTTGGTTGTGTTGAACACAGCAAACATTTCAAACTAAATGGATCTTTCTTCATTTGTAAACCTTCAAACAGGCTTCAGATCAGACCATGGTCTCAGGTGAAGAATCTTCTGCCTTATTGTTTGGACACTGACACGTTCAAACATGACTGACAGTGGAGGAGACTGTGATTAGTTTTTCCATTGTGATGAACACAGTGTATGGTCTATCAAATTATCTAAATAAAATAAAATAAATTTACTGACCAAAAGCTCTGCTTCAAAGTAAGAGTACTTCATAGAAATGTAGAACAAGAAGTACAATATCTGTCTTTAAGTGTAATGGAATAAAAGTCAGAAGTTTACAAAAAATACTCAAGTAAAGTACAGATACTTGAAACATATACTTAAGTACAGTACTCAAGTAAATGTACTTTGTTACTGTCCACCCCTGGAAATAAATGTGTCTTTTCCATAGTTAAAGGAGAGAGAGTATTGGTTCTGTGGAGTCAGCTGTGAGGAGCCGTGAATGTATTCACTTGACTGAAATCACCAGACAAACTCTTTGCGTGTTCAGGTCCACTGGATGAAGATGGTCAGCCCCATGGTTTCTGCACAGTGACCTACTCCTCCAGTGATCGCTTTGAAGGACACTTCACCCATGGAGAGAAGAATGGAAAGGGCAAGTTCTTCTTCTTTGATGGAAGGTAAAGCTCACACAGAAGAAATGTAAAAGGTGAAAAGTGTAAATTTGGTCTCAACACTGGTGGGGACAACACCTTTTTAATGCTGACATATGCTAACATACAACATCTGTATTTACATGTAAATAAAAACTAAACACAGGAACAGATCAAAGACTGAAAGTAAACTTTAGAAAATCATGTGTTAACAGGAAAGAGAGAAAAAAAACTATTTTTTCATGCAACATCATAATGTTTATATTCAGTAGATCTACCACTGTTGCAGTTTCTCCTTTCCACTTGATTTCAACAGTAAAATGCTGCTACTTTAGTGATACATCAGTATTAATGATCTAATAATATAAGGCTGGTGACATAAGCTTGCTAGCAGGTTATCATTTAATTCATCGTAGCTGCTTGCTGGTTAGTTTAATACCTATTACTGATGCCCTGATGTCTCTGTTTTGGAGGAATGATGTCTACAAAGTACAAAACCTGTTGTCATGGACAGCATTAAAGACCCTCTGATGAAAATCAAGTGTTTAATCTTGTTAACGTCCATATCATGTTTTTATATAATGCAAGACATATGATGAGTGAAATAATCAGTCAACACCATGAGTATTTCCACATTGAACTTGAAAGAGATGCCTATAAAACTGTTGACAGGACACCTCCGGCTGTAAACTCAGTCAATTATTAATCTTTGTATGGTATATTTTTAAGCGATGGACTTTCAGTCTTTGTAAAAACTTTCCAAAGCCAACAAAAAGCCCAGAAAAGTTTTTTTTTTTCTGGATGATGTCACCGCTGTGTACGTGCACTCTGGGCGGTCGAGCTGCGTCTCGGGAACGAGGATGCATGCTAGGTTGATGCAAACGCCATATAGATGTACAAAAGTTACTTGGATAACTGAATTAACGACATAAAGGTGAGAAAGATATTTTGATTTTGTGATTTTGCGTGGCAGTTATTGGTCACTTGTCAGTCTTTGTTCTCAAATGTAATTGTTTTTTAATCTATATGTTAGCCTATATATTAGCCAAGTGACTGGCTGGATTCACTGATATGACACTTTTCTTCAGTGAATTTTAAACTGTCTCAGTGTGGTAAAATTATGACTCTGACTTCACGTCCAATGAGTTGGCGGTGAGATGGTGCAACCTGCTGCCCTTCTCCCACCGGTCCCTGAGGGGAAGAACCGTCCTGCACGTCCTCATTGTGTCTCTCTTACTCCCCACATTGTCACTGTGTTCAGTATACAGTATGCTAAATGTTCAATGGCATTCATTATCATTTAAATTAAATCTTTAAAAAACATCCTTTTGATTAATTTTATCTTTTTCAGATGAAATATCTCAGACAGTAATGTACTTAATGAAAATACCAGGGTTCTGTGACAGCTACACTTGTGGACATTGAAATTCTGCAGTGTTGTGGAAATATTGTATTGAACTATTTCATAACAAAGAGTCACACAACATGCAGCTTGGCACTAATTTTACATATACAATGTGAAATAACAGTGACTTAATTAATAAATATGTTTAAATACGAGTGAAACAGGCGTCGGTGGATTGAAGTGGTAAGATGATGAAAAACAAATCATCATGGACAAAATCTCAGTGTATGACCAAAATGAAACATTTTATTTGATATGCTCCACTAAAAATAAGTAGTAGGCCTATAAGAATACATAGAAGACGTGCTATATGAAGAGAGTAAAGCCCTTGTGATAATTGTGACTATATTTGTCACATGCAGCATCAATTTCTTATTAAAAATGCTCAAAAAACTGGTCAAACTAAATATTTTGGTCTGATTATGATTTATTGTGTTCAATCCAAAGTGATTTTAAGCTCTAAAGCTTTTAACTGAATGACTCATTTTCCCTTTAACGTCACAATTAACTGTCAACATTTTCCGTGATATTAATGATCATAGGTTTAACACCACCTTACTTTTCAGAACATTATCTTCATTGTTTTTGCTGTCATTTGTATAGATTTATGATTTAAAGCCCTGAGCAAGTCCTGTAGAAGTCTTCTTACCCCTCCAGATCCAGAACGCCGTTTGCTCGTTCTCATAGCCCAGAGGCATGATGGGAGTGACACTACTGCGCATATTCAGTGGGCCGCATAACACGGAAGTAAGCTGGAAGCCAGAAACTTTTTTGGTGTATGCGCCAGGCGAGCAATTTCTATAGAAATTAAAAGGTGCCATTTTAAGATCCGGTATCCAGTTCTTATAATACATCCATGGACAGTACAGAGAACCAGAGTTAGCATCAGCACAACACTGTGTCAGCTCTTGCCAGTTGCTCTCTGCTCTTTCACCTGTCAACCTGGAGCAAGCAGGTGGTGGGTGGGGCTCAAGGCCTGATCCACATTTCTCAATCAGGAAGTAAGAGTAGATGAGTTTCAAACCCAGTTTTTATGTGTGAAAACCATGTTAAACTAAATATGAATCATAATAAAGGATTTTTACGGGGTTTAAAACATGTCTGGTGGAAGTTTACGTTATATGTGCTGCAGTTCAGACAATAGAGGAAAAGGAATCATCTGAAATACTACATTTACACCATGTTTGAGTTCTGACACTGATAACTGACACACTGATCTGCAGTCACCACCTCTGTGTCTGACAGTGTGATATTTATACATGACTTGAGGTAGTCCCCACCCTTTCAGCCAATGAAATGCTACCATGTCTAAATCAGTCATCTTGGGACATGTCACTACTGTCCATATGCAAACCTACACCTTTGTAAAAGGTTCTTGATTGTCATGACTGTTTATCACAGTAGTGATAGTGACAAGTATTTTTAACAAACTAGACTTAAAGTGTCTACATTCATAAAGCATGGAAGCATGCTCTGCAAAATGATGACATCAGTATTAGATTAGGACCGCTGACAGGAAAAAGAGCTGACATGTCTGTCTGTTAGCTTTAACATGTCAGGTGACCACAGTAGATGATCTGAAGCTATAGGCGTCACCAATAATGAATGACAGTGTTGTGCATGAACGTGTGTTCACTGAACGTGCTCATGTTTGTGATTAATTGAATGTATCTATTTGCAACTATGAATGTGAGCCATGTTCACTCTGACATTCATTGATGCTCATGCACCAGAAGGTGGCAGTAATGCACCAAAAATAATAAAAAAAAACATAGAAAAGAAGAACTGGCTTTACAGCAGCACTTGAGGATTTACTGCACTGAACTGAACTCATAGGATATCTTTCAGCTAGTGACTGTAATGAAGGGGAGTTGCAGCCTGTACAGCCTGTGATCTGCTCTGTATTTCTGAACTGCTGTATAATGTGGTTCATGCAGGCTTAATTATTTTCAGATGCTTAATCCAGCTGCAGGTCAGGCAAGTTAGTCCAGACATTCCTCTCCCCAGCGTTTCCAGCCTGTCCAGAGGCCTGTACTACAAAGCAAGTTCAACATTCCCAGGATAACTTTTAGTTATCTGGGTTAACTCAACCTAACACTGACCATCCTGGAATAAAAAGAACTATAACTATTAAGAAATACTACTATTTCTAAACATAACTATATTGTAAATAAGTGCATGTATTATCATTAAGTGTCTTATTGAGTATTTCCGCTTGTTTGTCTGATGATGAACTTATGAACATGTGAAGCAGATGAAACAGTTAAAGTTAATGTCAGACTGTTTCCGTTGCAGAGAGGAGAGAAAGAAAAGAGGAAAGAAGTAATTGAAGTCTAATGAGTCAGTCTGACTGAAATGAAAAGAATTTCAAAATTATAAATCAATTTTTTTCAAAATTACGCAGTGAGTGGATCATTGTTCTAATCAAAGACATTAGATGTTTAGTTTTTATTTCCAGTTTGAGTCTCCTCATGTTATTCTGAGCTGCAGTGATGAAGAAGAGAGTAAAAGGATCAGCACTGTCAGGAATCCTGTTGGATTCGATTAAATATTTGTTTGGTTCAAATGAAGCTCTAATAGATATTATGTAGTTAATTAGTGATAAACTCTCCTCTGTTAGAAGCTCTGTTTTAAAATCAGAGTGGACACATGCTGGTTTGGAACAGCAAAACAATTCCTCTGATTTATGTAAATATCTGTTGCTTGTTATTATTGAGCCCTTTATTGTGAATGCTTTTGTTCCTGTCAGGGTCCTGTAGAAAGGATGACTCAGTTTTCCAGGTATCTGATTCGTCAGTAGTTTGGCAGTAGCATGTTCTGGGTCTACCTTGGGGGTCTCTAACCAGATGAACCCAGAAAACCTCCAAAGGAACCCTAACCCTACCAGTTGAATCTTAAAGTACTCTTACTCTTCTGTCAAAATGTACTACTTTAATCACAGAATATTACGACTTTATCCTCCTATATTTTAAATTTTTTCTCAAAATGTTTTCACTCCTCTCTCCTGATGTTCTTACTTTTTTATAGAAATTTTTGTCAAACTTTGTCCTCAAACTCTCAAGGCTCTATTTTAACAATCCAAAGTGTATGGTCTAAAGTGTGTGGTGCAAGTGCATTTAGGCCATGTCCACAACCATTTGCTATTATAATGGCAGAAAGAACATCTGCTGCTTGAGGCAGATGGTTCAAAAGAGCTGCTGTGTTTCACACAGAATTAGATTCTATTTGTGGTGAGTTGATTACATATTGTGACTGACCAGTGAGTCCAGTCCTGGCATGGTTGTGCGTCCACCAATGTTACTTTGTGCTTTGTCCTTGATAATGAGCCTTTCAAATAACAGTGAAATACTGAACCACTGACTTCAGACCAGGTTTTTGCTGGTCAGTCACTTTCTGCCAACTAAAGATAGCAATATGTCAACAATGCTCCTGACCACACCTCATTTTAAGACCAGCACGCCCATGGGCACACAGATGGATGGAGAAGTGTATTAGCTATTTATACAACGTGGGCGCTGGACGGGAAAATGACAACTGCATCGGTCTGAAACTAGCAAAGACACTTGTGTTGCGCTTTATGCGGGGTGTAAGACAGGACCCTCTGACTTTTTCCTAACAATGTCCCTATTACTCTGTTGTATAGAACATCTGTAATATTTTATTACAGTTTGAGGATCAGAACATGAAGTTAAACATATTTAATGCATTGAGAGCTCAGCACCACTGAACACTAATAACTCCATCCTACATATCTGACGATGCTCAACATGATACTACAGCTGTCTTCTTTCTGTCCCCTCTCCACAGCACCCTGGAGGGTTTTTACGTAGATGACACTCTGCAGGGACATGGGGTGTACACATATGAAGACGACAGCATCCTCCATGGGATGTATGTGGATGGGGAGCTCAATGGGCATGCTCAGGAGTTTGATGGAGAGGGCCACCTGGTGTTCAAGGGCCAGTATAAAGACAACAACCGCTGTGGGGAGTGCTGGGTGTACTACCCTGTGAGTCAGCTCACTGCCCATGGTCACATGTGGAGACTTCACTCAGTTACATGAGTTCAAGCACTTCTCTGGCCATATTTATGAAATGTTGTTTAGCCTTCTTTAAGATACACAACACAGAAGGAAAGTAACTGAATGATCTTTGTTAACTGTGATAATTGTGCATATTGGTGTGTACTGTGGTGCGTCTAGGATGGGGGCTGTGTGTTTGGGGAGGTGAATGAGGATGGAGAGATGACCGGTGACTCTGTAGCGTATGTCTACCCAGACGGACACACAGCTCTCTCTGGGAGCTTTGTCGACGGGGAGCTGATTGAAGCTCATTTCGCCACCCTGATTTCCAACGAAAGTGGAAGGCCGCGCTTCGAAGTCACACCAAACAGTGAGTACACATGTCGTCTTCAGTCAGTGCCAGTGTTAGGTGAAGCTATAGGTGTCTGTTTTTGGTTCTACTCTACATTGTCCTCTTTGTTTTTCAACACTGATTTTGCAGACTTGAACTACAGACCTTACCCATTTTAACCCATGTACTCTTTCAATGTTGGGGGTTTGCCTCAAGCGGCTGGATTATTGTTATTATTATTGAGTGTTGTAGTGGCAGATCTGGATCCTGTAGCTCCAAATCAGAGATACCAGAATGAGGAAACAGAGAGATACAGAGAGGAGAGCCACAAACTATGCTCAGCTGATAGCTGAAGGTTCTTCCTCCTGGACCCAGACTTGGAGCTGGTTCCACAGGAGAGGAGCCTGATAGTTGAAGGCTCTGCCTCATGGACCCAGACTGGGAGCTGGTTCCACATGAGAGGAGCCTGATAGCTGAAGGTTCTGCCTCCTATTCTAATCTTAGAAACTCTTGGAACCACAGTAGACCTGTGTAGGGCAGAGTGTTCTGTTGGGATAATAGGGAACTATGAGCTCTTTAAGATACAAAGGTGGCTGACTTAATGACTGAATGCCTTTGTAGGTGAGGAGGAGGATTTTATTCCCTATGAAATCCAGTGCCAGAGAAGCCAACATAGGAGAGATGTGATCTCTTTTCCTAGTTCCTGTCAGAACTCCCCCTGCAGCATTTTGGATCAGCTGGAGGTTTTTCACTGAGTTATTGGGACATCCTGATAATAAAGAATTACAGTATTCCAGTCTGGAGGTAACAAATGCATGGACTAGTTTTTCAGCTTCCTTTGGAGACAGGATGTTTCTGATTTTCATAATGTTGTGCAGGTGGAAGAAAGCTGTCCTAGAGACTTGTTTTTAAGTAAAAGACATGTCCTGGTCAAAATGACCCCAAGGTTTCTTGCTTTAGCACTGGAGGCCAAGGTAATGCCATCCGGAGTAAGTATATTATCAGATGATGTGTTTCTGTGGGTTTTAGGGCCGAGTACCATTTCTTCAGATGTGCTGGAAACTGCATGAGTCAGAGTGTAGTTTCAGTCATATTTGCTTATATTGTTCTGACTTGTTTATTGTGTTTAATGGTTGGAGGGACTTATGGAAACAACTGGACTTTAAAATGATCTACTCTGTCTTTAAGGTCCTGTTTACTCGTATGACAAGTCCACATCCACGTGTATGGCCACCCACGCTCTGCTTCCTGACCCATATGAGAGCCAAAGGTGGGTCAGTTGTATACATGATTCCCCTACAATGCGATCCTGGAGCCACTTCAGGGCTGTTCATCATACTGTCATTGTATTGTTTGTGTTTGTCAGGGTATTTGTGGCGGACTCCACGATTAAAGGAGCAGGTCAGGGTTTGTTTGCTAAGACAGATGCTGAAACGGACACTGTGATGGCTTTTTATAATGGAGTACGCATCACTCACTCTGAGGTATGACACACGTTTTTTCATCTAGTTATTGTACCCCAGAGGGTACCTCTGCAGTATGTGGAAAGATTGTGGAGGAGCTAAACTAATTTGAAAAAATAAATTCAAATTAGTATATCTGTCAAATTAGTATAAAAAAAATACCCTTCTTTTAAACGCAAAGTATGTCACTCAATCAAAAGAATAACAAAAGGCGGCGTTGGGTGAAGTAGCGTGGGATCATGGGAGTAGTTGTCTTCACCACCATTACCGTGAGCTCCTCTCGGTTTGGATTCCTTCAGTGTCAGTGATTCAGGAAATCAAACAGATCTGGTGATTCTAACCATTAAAAACACTGAATAAAGCAGTTTCACATTAAAAGTGTCACACTGATGCTGTACGGAGGACAGACGCCAGGGAAGAGTTGGAGCTGAGATTGATGCTAACCTTTGTTTTGATTGTTTCTCTGATAACTTATGACCCAGAGGTTCAGCAGGTTTTTACCAGCAGCTGAATTATCCACAGAGATGTCCTCCTCTCCATAACAAACAGACCAGGGGATTAAAACCAGTAGAAACACCCATAATCAGTCCCTCCAGAAAGTTGCAGTGTCTTGATCGCAATAATTAACGCATATTAAATTTACTATGTCATTATCACCATCATCATGACTTAGTTGAGGCCCGTGCATATTTTCCCTTGTTTAGTCTTAGTTTGTTGTGATACTGACTGAAATTATAAAGTTGCGACACGCAAGCACCTTTTTTGAGCTGTATTGCTTATACGTCACTATAAGAGAAATAACAGAAATTAGTAGTAATTGTTCTTGGGAGGCAGGGGGCAACAAGCCCGTACACACATAAAAAGCTCCATGTTATAAATTCATAAATTCATGAGGTTATTATAAAGATCAGCGCTACCTGTGATTAAGATTTCCTTATAATATTTGTGAAGACTGTCACCACCTGCACTGCACTGGATTTATTCTTGCTGGTACAAGTTGCCTTTGAATTTTAATGAATTATACAAAAAGAGATAGTGACAATTTTTGCAATTTTTATTTTCCCCCACAGTTTAATTGCAAAAAAGACATCTGCAACATTCATTGCAATTTTTAAGAAAAGCTGCTGCAAAATCAGATATTTTAGCCAGCAACAATACCAATAAAAGCCTACCAAATTCCTGGAGGGACTGCATTAAGCAGGTTCACTTTAATTAGTGTTTCACTGATGCACAGGACAGGATATCTCCAGCAGCTGGGAGCTGAGCTGTCTAACATTTACTCTGATAACTTAAAATATAAAATTTATAGTTGAAAACCAAGGTGTAAAAAGTGTATGTAGCTTAAATGTTGAGCTTCTGTCAGACCAACACAACACTGACACATTGTCCTAGAGGATATTATGTCATTGACAGGCAACCAATGCATTGTTACCATGATTAAAATCACAGATTTCTCTAATTTGAGAATTTATGGAAACATTTGGGATAATGTAAGAAAAAAACTCAACAACATATAGAACATACAGTGCTGTGAAAAAGCATTTCCCCCCTTACAGATTTCTTTTCTTTTTGTTTTTTGTCACACTTACATGTTTCAGATCATCAAAGTAATTTTTAATATCAGACAAAGATAACCTGAGAAAATACAAAATGCAATTTTTAAATGATGATTTAATTTATTAAGGGAAAAAAGCTATCCAAACCAACCTGGCCCCTAAACCTAATTGGTTGTGCCACCCTTGGCGGCAACAACTGCAATCAAGTGTTTGCGATAACTGGCAATGAGTCTTTCACATCGCTGTGGAGGAATTTTGGCCCACTCTTGTTTGCAGAATTGTTTGATTCAGCCACATTGGAGAGTTTTCGAGCATGAACGGCCTGTTTAAGGTCATGCCACAGCATGTCAATCGGATTTAAGTCCGGACTAGGCCACTCCAAAACTTTCATTTTGTTTTTTTTTTAGCCATTCAGAGGTGGACTTGCTGGTGTGCTTCGGATCATTGGCTTTGTAACCCTTTCCAGACTGATAGATATCAATGACTTTGTTTCTCATCTGTTCTTGAATTTCTTTGGATCGGGGCATGATGTGTTGCTTTTTGAGATCTTTTAGCTTACTTCACGTTGTCAGTTGACAGTTCTATTTAAGGCCGGATTTCCACCGGGCGCGTCAGCGCCGCGGAACGTCAGCGGAACGTCAGCGCCGCGGTCACCGCAGCCAAACGCTGCCACTCTAATCAATGTTAGTATTTCCACCAGAAGCGCTGCGACACGTCTCAGCAGCGTCCCAGCAGCGGCTCGCCGTGCCGCAGCGCTATCAATCCGTAGCAGTTCTATTTTTGACGCTGCCGTTGCTAAATCGCGTCAAGCTCAACAGAGTAGATTGCACCAGACAGGAAGTCAGACACAGTATCAAAGTAAAACACTTCCGCCCCCTTTCAAAATAAAACACAACACGCACGTCATCTAACTTCACATCAACATTATGTATCAGAGCGGTTGATATTAACAGAGTGGCGACAGCTGACGTTCCGCGGCGCTGACGCCCCCGGTGGAAATCCGGCCTTAGTGATGTCTTGATTCTACAGGTCTGGCAGTAATCAGGCCTGGGTGGAGCTAGTGAAATTGAACTCAGCTTTCCAAAAAATGTGGTTAATCACAGTTAATTCATGATTTAACAAGGGGGGCAGTTACTTTTTTACATAGGGCCAGGTTGGTTTGGATAGCTTTTTCCCTTAATAAATGAAATCATCATTTAAAAACTGCTCTTTGTATTTACTTAGGTTATCTTTGTCTGATATTAAAATTTGTTTGATGATCTGAAACATTAAAGTGTGACAAAAAAGCAAAAACAAAAGAAATCTGTAAGGGGGCAAATACCTGAACACCACCTGTTGCAAATAAAAGTGTTTGTACTGATTAAAGCATGTGTCTGTCTGTCATGGCTACATCTCAGGTAGACAGCAGAGATTGGGCCCTGAATGGAAACACGATCTCACTGGATAAGGACACTGTGATCGACGTCCCTCAGCCCTTTGACCACACAGAGAGATACTGTGCCTCTCTGGCCCACAAGGCAAACCACTCCTTTACCCCCAACTGCAAATATGATCCGTGAGTACAGATGGAAGAGAGTCAGACATTTTCAAAATAAGAGTCAAAAGTTTGAGATTCAAAGTTAGTTCTTGATCAGGTTCATGTAGTGTCTGTTCTTATGCTTTCATTCACATCACACATGCAGTTTATTATTTCCCATGTGTCAATCTTGGCTGGATGGCTTGTGCTAACTTTGCCCTCTTGACTTTTGTTGTAGAGATTTGGGGAAACAAGGACTCACACATAACAATGTATATTAAGGCAACCAGTCTGAGCCTCCAGCTGCTTTCAGGATAAACTTGATCGTTATATGAATCATTTCAAACACCTGTCTTTGAGTCTAGACCCAAAGTAAACACAGGAAGTAGATGTCTGTGATGGCCACTACAGCTAACACTGCAGAGGGATCTGCAGACAGGTGACAATGGAAAGGAAAAACCTGAATAAATAGGTGGAGAGACATAGCAAATTCAGATGTACACAGGTAAAGCGCATGCTACAATTAATCCGTTAACATCCCATCATAATCTGGGGCAGGTATGAAAATGCTGAACAGGCCCAGTTGATTCTGATTCTGTATCAAGAATAAAAGATCTGAGTGACTCTGAAGAGGGTTCATTGTTGGAGCTTCAGTCACATTCAACTGGCTGCTGTTTCCATAGCAACAGCGATAAAGTGACATCTGCATCTATGGGACAGACGTCAGTAAACAGGGTTGGACATTTGATGACAGTGATTCTCGTGCATTAGTGAAGAAGAACAGATGAGCAGCTCTTCCTCAGGTGACTGAGAATATGAATATGATCAACCTGAGTCAACAACAGTCGTCCACAGTCACACAGAGGGATGTTATAGTAGAGCTGCAGTGATAGACCCTCATTACAGAGATGAATCCACATGTGAGAGTTTAGTTGCGGAAACCATAGACACTGTTCTACAGAGATGTGGAAAACAGTGATGTGGTCAGATGATTCGTCCTTCCTTCCTCCATGTTCTCATCAGATGGGTGGGTTCATGTGTGGCGAACACAAAGAGAACAGTACAGGTCTGAATGCTGGACCACGAGACAGGGCTCTCCACTATCATCAAACACCACATGAGGGAATATGTTTATGTAGAACGGTTCATCCTCCAGTAGAGTTCAGAGTTTTCTCTCAGCTACCATTGTAATTTCAGCTGATAGTGGGTCTAGGAATATCACAAAGTCCATACTACTGGGTAACTACTGAGTACTCATGTAGTAATCACTACTGAGTACTCATGATATAAAAGTGGTGTCTACTGAGTCCTCGTGTATTAATGTGGTAATAACTGCTGAGTCCTCGTGTAATAATGTAGTAATGACTACTGAGTACTCGTGTAACAATGTAGTAATAACTACTGATTACTCATGATAATGTAGTAATAACTACTGAGTACTCATGTAATGTAGTAATAACTGAGTACTCATGCAATGTCATGCCATAATGTAATAACTACTGAGTACTCATGTAATAATGTAGTAATGACTACTCAGTCATCATGTATTAACAGAAATAACTAGAGTCCTCATGTAGTAAGAGAAATAACTGAGTCCTCATGTAATAATGCAGTAATAACTAGTGAGTATTCTTGATAATGTAGTAATAACTACTGAACGCTCATGTAATAATGTAGTAATAACTACTGAGTCCTCATGTAATAATGTAGTAATGAGTGCTCCTGGGTCAGAATGTCAGCGTGGTGACGTGATGCAGCTAGTGTAATCCCATCAAAAGAGAGTCTCTAGTTTTCTTGTTAAATTAAAATTATTTGTTTTGTTCAGGTATGTCCATCCTCGCTTTGGGCCAATCAAGTGTATCCGAACACTTAGGGCTGTGAAGATAGGCGAGGAGCTGACAGTTGCCTATGGCTATGATCACGGGCTGACGGGGAAGAACGGCCCAGAGGCTCCTGATTGGTACAAGCAGGAACTGGAGATGTTCCAGCAGACACAGGAGGCTCCCACCAGCCAATGAGAGTGCAGAATGCAGACAAATACCTCTGGACAATACAATAACCCTCTACCTGTGCTACCACTTTTGAAGACTCCTGAAGCATATGGAACTTGATATCCCTGCAGCTGCAACCCATATTGTAGATATTTTTGAAGTTACTATGCTTCATATGGTATTCAAGCAGAATACTGCTTGAGCAGTTCAGTTTGATTGGAAGTCCTGGACATCCAGGGCCAAAACAACACAAGAACTATGCAAGAAACCAAATGTTATTAAAGGAGACATGTCAGTAGCTGGAAGTGCTGTCCTCTTCATCACATATTACTCATATAGGAATGATTTACATGCTTATGGTTTGAGGGTATTGAGGATTTTTCGGTTATGACTTTCATTTCTTTCAGTTTTCAGTGTCAATATCTTCACTTAACTCTTATGTCAGTAGATTAATGTAGCAGCTGCAGTTTTCAGGGCTCCCTTCAAGGTGTTTAAAAACACTATTTGTGTGGCAGAATTTACTCTATTTAACTTGCACTTCATTTGAACTTACCCAGCCGGCCCCTTCCATGTAATACTGTGCAAAAGATTTAGGCACTTTAGATGTTCAGATCCTCTCCATCATCATCATCATCATCAGGAGGTGTCTAATTGGTCCAGATTCATCCTGCAGCAGATGATGTCAGCATCCTGATCTCAGCAACTGGTGCTGTTTTGTTTTTTGTTTTGTTTTTTTTTTTTTGGGGGGGGGGGGGGGGTCACACCAAATATGATTTGATTCAGTTTTTTCTCTTTGCTGCACTTTGTATGAAATTCATTGATAAATAACCAGTCATGGTATTATATCAGAAAGCATCCTGACTTTACAGCATCTTTTCACAAGTGCCTGAAACTTTTGCACAGCACTGTACATTTAAAAAGTTTAATTTCACAAGCCTACTCACTGAGGCTTGCACACAGCTTACAGTATGCAATATATATTACAGTGACTTATTTATTATATCTATCCATAAATTGGTAAAGCACAGTATTTACTGAGATTTGTAGGTGATTTGTAACTTGAGGAGAACATAATGGATGGTCTATTGTAGTACATGTGAGCCTGTTCAACTTTTCTCACCTAATTAGACCCCACAAAATAAAGTCCATGATGAAGAAAATTTCTCTGCATGCCTCATTTATTATCATATCATGGAAGCAGTTTGTCAGTTAATGCTATTGCTACAATCTCAAACTAGTATTTATCTAATAAACATACTGCGGTGTTTCATATTGCTATCAGTATTTATAAAACATCACCTGCATGAGTTGGTAAAAGACAAAACAATGTGAAACTAAATTTTAGTGTGTTTAAAAAGTGAGGTTTGAAAAATTTAGCTGTACTACAACAAGTACTGTAATATTTAATGTGACTTATATTTTAGGATGAAAGATAAGAGCTGATGTCAGAGAGAAGATTCGATAAACAATGCTAGTAAATAGTGATAATGCAAATGACTTACTGTGATGCTGAAAGCTAATCGATTTAGATAAATCCAAAGTTGGCCACTTTATTTATAACAATGTGTTTATTTTTAAGGGTATATTTTTCATGTCTATGTTTTTTATACATCCAGTGATACAAAGATGAACTAAGTCCCAACATGAACATATTAGCTGGTAAGTTTCCTGGATGAGCATCTCTCCGGCAGGCCTATGTAAGGTTACAGGTCAGATATAGAACTAAAATTACTTAACTCTGACTGTATATATAAGATAAAACATTCCTTTCTTAGTGCCACATTGTGGAAATTTGTAATTTGTTTCAGCAGAAAAGTGGAAAAATCTTAAAAAAATAATAATAATAATAATAATAATTATATAATTATAATAATAGTATAATATGTACAATTAGACATTTAAATATGACAAAAATGCAGCAGAAATGGAATATTGCAGTTATTTAGATGAGACAACCAAAAATGCTTTTGGGTTCTTCCGTTAAGACGGGGACGGGCGCCGGAGAAGGGGGCGGGGCCAGCATCCTGAGAGTCCAAATTCTGGGCATAATGTCTCATATGCCTCCTCTGCACCTGCTGCTATTCAGTCAGGTTAATGGATAAACTTCCTACCTGCAGAAGTAGAGCTAGAGACAGCCCGCAGCCCGGAACAGGCACACGGCGGAAGGGAGGAAAACACGGGAGGCACCGTTCTCTGAGATGAAAATAACTGCACTGTAGTTTTCACAGACTTGTTGCTGTCAACACCAGGACCGTTAATGACACCGGGACCGTTAGTGACACCGAAAACTCCTACGCCGATCATCAGGCTGAGGGTAAAGCCGCAGGTTAAAGTTAACTTGGGACCGGGGTGCGGACTGTTGGAACTGGACTTTGTAGCCGGTTAATACCCGGACATGGACCAATACAGGTACTTTATCTTCAACCAGAAGAGCGTACTCGTCTTCGGGATCCTCCAGATCGCCTGTGCAGGTCTTTGTGTGGTCTGTGGGTTCATGGACGCGGTTTTCCGCAAGGACACCCCGCTGAGTACCACCAGGACGCCGGTGTGGGGAGGACTGGTGAGATACTGACTCTATTAGAAATTCTTGTCAACCTGTAACCTGCGTCTTTACTGCTCTCCGGTGTAACCTCTATACTACTGACACTGTCAGTGTTGTTCTGTTGGCAGCAGATATGCCTTTACTGGTGCTGTCTGCAACAATGACGTTACATTGTGACTGTAATTATAATGATCTTCTTATAATCCCCAGTTATTATGTTTATTGAAGTCCAGTTCCCAGGTAGCAGGACATGTAGCCTACAGGGGTTTACCTACCTGACACCGGGACGTGGTTTACCTGTTTACCTGATCTGTCCCTTGTTCCCACCTGCTGCTTGTCTGTAAGTTCACTCTGTTCATCTCCTGCAGATCATGGCCTCTCCAGGTGTTCTGGCTCTGTTTGCCTCGCAGAGGAAAAACTCAGTGCTGGTAAGTTTGTCAAGACAAGCTGCGTTTTTTTCTCCACCATTACTTCCAGGTTCTTTCTGGTTCTCTATGAACATAAGTCAGAGAACTACCACAAGTACTTAATGTGATGTTCAACACTGAATTATAGTTTTTCTCAACTGCTTTGATGCAATTCACTCATCAGAAACATCATTCTCACAGCTCTTAATGCAGTTCTCAAAACAGTTAATGCATTTCTCATAACACTAAATCACCTGTGCAAAAGTCTCTAAAACAATCAAAACATTGTTCACGTGTCAAAACATGCAGTCAGTCAATCACTTCAACATTGGCACTAATTAATTAAAAATTTTCACCAGACTTAGACACCAAATGTTTTGATGTTTTGATAAAAACCTGACTGACTTTAGAAAAAGACAACTGCAAAAATATAGTAAAAGTAAAAAACGGTCAGAGACAACACTGTACTGCTGTTACAACAGTAACATGTTGGAAAAATACCTATATTCTGTTTCAACATTCCATTAGTGTTTATTGTACTGTGTACATTTAAACCTCTCAGCAGATCACTGTCCTGTCACAACACTGTATGGAAATGTACACTGCTCAAAAACACATTGGATTTTGATGAATGAATTATTCAAGTTGAAAATCTTTACTGATGTACATTTTATAATTTGTTGAGAACAAAAAAAATTGAAATCACCACCATCCAACTTCCGAATTTCATCACAGGAACTCATAATGTGACTCAGTAGTGTGTATGGCCCCTGCGTGACTGTATGCACTCCCGACAACGTCTGGGCATGCTCCTGGTGAGTTGGCGGATTGTGTCCTAGGGGATCTCCTCCCAGATACACCGATGCACCGATACATAGGGTTTACGTCGGGGGAATGTGAGGGCCAGTCATTGTCATCAATTCCTTCGTCATCCAGGAACTGCCTACACACTGTGGCCACATGAGGCCGGGCATTGTCCTGCACCAGGAGGAACCCAGGACCCCCTGCCCCATTTTTTTTTTTTTTTTTGACTTGCAATTTTTATTTTATAATATTCATATCAATCATACAACATAGTGTACACAATGCAAATTGTTCCAACAATCCACCCATCCCCCAGCCCCCCATAACCAGGAAGGGTGGAAGGGTCAACTAACTATAGAGTGGTCTAATTCACGTGGTTAAAGAGACAATGCAGGACAGGGATGACAGGGCATAACAAATAAATTGATACAATTCTATAAATAAACTAAAAAGAATGTCTCCTGAAGAAGTGAGAGAAACAAGTTATAAAATAAATAAATAAAAATACCGTAATATCACAGCCCCATATATCATTCCTGCTCATCATAAACAATGTGCATCCACTTGGTCTTTACTCTGTTACATATATAAAGTCAAGGTACAAGATCCACTTTAGGATAAATTTTTATCAACATTATTTGGGAGTTGCCACAAATCCTAGTGCAGTCCTGTACATCAAATGACTCCCCCAGATCCCTTTACAAGGAAAGTCTAAGGGCCGACACCCCACCATCTCCTCCATATTCTATCAGCATTCTATAATATTTGGCTGCTCCATGACCTGGAGAATTTTATCTAGCTTATCTGCTGGCTCTGGGGAGTACACACTCAACCCATAAGTCCTTTGCAAGACATGGCGTAGCTGAAGGTATCTCCAGAATTGGGTTTTAGGTAAATCATATTGTTTTTTTAGGTCATCAAATTCTTAAGTGTATTGTTGTTGTATACATTTTTGTTTTCTTTTTTTTCTTACAACTTTATTTATCAGTTTTACATATCAAACTTACAATACTATAAATGGTTAAGCATTCATGACAGAAGTTGTAAGTCCCCAACCCCTCCCCCCACACCCTCCAGGCAGCATCACCAAAATAAATAGATTAATACATAACAGTAAATAAATAAAATATAGTAAGATTACAATGATAGTACTACTGTATACCTAAGTTTTTCCAGATCCAATCCCAGCATCACTTCCCTTGAAATGGGTATGCTATGGACCCAAATGCAGCACACAACTGGATATAGTTTGTAGTGACCTTTTAATTATGAACCAGCAGAGATAATGCACACAGGTGGGTATTGGGGCTAGAGGAAGGGGTCCAGGGTGGGGGCTGGAGAGCCGTGGGTCAGGTGAGTAGAGCGAGGTGACTGAGCTCACACACACAGGGGAAAGTTGGAAGGCAAGCAATGGTACGTTGTTGAGGGAGCAGGAGGATCAGAACCAGGTAAGCAGTCAGTGGGGCGGACGAAACAGGAAGGAGCAAGCAGGCAGGTAATCAGAGCCATATGAAGGATCAGGAAACCAGCAGGGAAGCACTCATGTTGCAACGTTGGAGCTGGAGAACGCCAAACAGCCACAGGGACAGGCAGACGGGGACCAGGAAGTGCACAGGCAGAACTTGTGGTCGGGGACAGAAGGCTGAGGTGTTTACTGGGTCAGAGACGAGGCAGGATGGTCAGGGATGAACGAACTCAATAACAGGAAGTCGGTCCGGAGATGAACGCTGGAAAGTCTTGCGTAATACAGAGAACAATCTAGCAATGAGTGAGTGGACCAAGGCCGCTTAAATACTGGCTTAATTGGAGATGGCATGTAGCTGGGAGCAACAGGTGGGGACGGTGAGGCTGATGAGGAGATGTAGCAGAGTGGAGAGTAAGACAGAGGCGGGATGAGTGGAAAAACACCACAGAGATCAGGTAGGAGCAGAGGCAGATTGTGACAGAACCCCTCCGTTCTAGGAACAGCTCTCAACGTCCCATACGAGCCATCCAGAAGCGGGTGGGAGGAGGGGAGCCCAGGAAGGTGGGGCTAAAACTCCTCAGAGCTAGACGAATCCATCTCTTGAGCAGGAGTCTCCAGAGAGATAGAGGACTGATCCTCTTCAGGGGGAGGAACTTCTACCGGTGGATCAAGGAGAGGAGGGGCTGCCCTGCGACGTTGGTTGAAGGCCGGTACCGGGGTCTTGGAGGGTTGGTCAGGGTGCTGTTGATGGAAATCCCTGATGAAATGAGTATCTAGGATGTGATGAGCAGGGATCCACGACCTCTTTTCGTGACCATAACCCTCCCAGTCGACCAGATATTGAAGACCTCTCCCCTGACGACGGGAATGGAGGAGCCGGCGGACCATAAAAGTGGGACCTCCCGGGGCATCGAGTGGCGTAGTGTCTAAGCAGGCGCCCCATGTGTAAGGCTACAGTCTTCGCTGCAGTTGGCCCCGGTTTGAGTCCCGCATCGGACGGCTTTTGCTGCATGTCATTCCCCCTCTCTCTGCCTCCCCATTTCCTGTTTCTCTACTGTACTATCAAATAAAGGCATAAAAAAAAAAAAAAGTGGGACCTCCCTCGATGATCCGAGGAGGAGCGGGGGCAGCTGGGACCAAGGGGCTCACAAACAGGTTTGACCTTGGAGACGTGGAAGGTGGGATGAACCCGCATGGACCAGGACAACTTGAATCCCACTGCTACCGGGTTGATGATCCTCTCGATCTCAAAGGGGCTGAAGAATCTGGCAGCCAGCTTCTTGGATTCGACCCAGAGGGGTAAGTCACGGGTTGAGAGCCATACTTTCTGGCCAACTTGGTAGAGGGGCCCCTGAGATCAATGACGGTTGGCATTAGTGGAGCTGCGGGTAGCAGAACGGATGAGGGTGGCTCAAGCTTGCATCCATGACTGACAGCAACGACAGATGAAGGCCTAGACAGAGGAACAGGAGGCTTCTTTTTCCAGGGCCGGAAACAGAGGAGGTTGGAAACCGTAGGCACACCGGAAGGGGGACAGCCCGGTGGCGGAGCTGGTCAGGGAGTTGTGGGCATACTCGACCCACAGGAGCTGCTCGGCCCAGGAAGAGGGCTGTTGCAAGACCAAGCAGCAGAGAGCCCTCTCCATCTCTTGATTTTTACGTTCCGTCTGGCCATTGGACTGGGGGTGGAAACCAGAGGACAGGCTGGCGTTGGCCCCAATAAGCAAACGGAATTCTCTCCAGAAGATGGAAGCAAACTGGAGATCCTCGGTCGGATACCACATCCACCGGCAGACCATGGAGACAGAAGACATGTTGCAGCATGAGTTCAGAGGTGTCTTTGGCCGATGGCAGCTTTGGCAGGGGAATGAAGCGAGCCACTTTACTGAATCGATCGACCACTGTGAGAATGGTGGTGTGGCCCTTGGATAGAGGCAGCCCAGTGACAAAGTCTATGGAGATGTGAGACCAGGGGCGATGAGGGACAGATAAGGGATGCAGGAGGTGAGCTGAGGCTTGATGAGAGGGTTTGTGCTGATTACAGACGGGGCAGGCATTGACGAACCCTCTTGTGTTCTCATCCAGGGTGAGCCACCAGAACCGTCGTTGAAGGGCGTCCTTGGTTCGTTGAATGCCCGGGTGACAGGCGAGACGGGAGCCATGAGCCCGCTGGAGGATATCGGACCGGAGATCAGGAAGGACGTACAGATGGTCTGGAGGGCCGGAACTAGGCCCAGGCTGGTCCAACAAGGCTGACTTGACCCGTTGTTTCACTTCCCAGGTGAGTGAGGCCATGAGCGTGGAGGGGGCAAGGATGGTGTCAAGGGTGGACTCTCCTCCTTCTTTGTCCAGGAACTGTCGAGAGAGGGCGTCAGGTTTGATGTTCCGGGAACCAGGGCAGTAGGAGAGAGAGAAGTTGAACCGCCCCAGGAACAGGGCCCATATGGCCTGGCAGGAATTCAGCCTCCTTGGCAGAATGGAGGTACTCGAGATTCTTATGATCTGTCCAAACCAGGAACGGGAGCTTGGCACCTTCTAACCAGTGATGCCACTCCTCCAAAGGCAGCTTGACTGCCAGCAGTTCACGGTTCCTAATGTCATAATTTCTCTTCACTGGGGACAACCGTTGGGAGAAGAAACCACAGGGGTGCAAATTCTGATCGTCAGCTACTCGTTGAGAGAGGATGGCCCCTACCCCCGTGTCAGAAGCATCCACTTCCACCATGAACTGCCTCTCACAGTCTGGCATGTGG